AGCCAAGACTGATCAAGAGAGACAAAAAGGTCACTACATCCTTGTCAAGGGAACAAGTCAAGAGAGATCATAAATATATATGCACCGAATGCCAGTGTACCCAATTATATAAAACAAATATTGACATGAAAAATCAAGTAAGCATTAATACAATTGTAATGAGAAACATCAATACCTCACTGTCATGAATAGATCAACTAGACAAAATATCAACAAAGAAATATCAGAACTGACCAAATATTTGAACAAATGGACTTAGTAGATGTCTATAGAGTGTTCTACTCCACAACACTAGAATACATATTCTTTTCAGCTGTACATGGCATGTTTTTCAAAATAGACCATATACTAGCTCATAGAACATGGAAAAGAATTGAAATTATCCCATGCTTAAGTAAATGGAAAAGAAATTGAAATTATCCCATGCATATTATCAGACCATAGTGCAACAAAATTGGAAATCAATGGCAAAAGAAACCATAAAAACTTCATAAACACATGGAAATTAAATAACACCCTCTTGAACAACCAGTGAGTCATAGATGAAATTAAAGAAGAAATTAGACAGTTTCTACAATTAAACAATAATGCCAATATAACATACTAGAATTTATGAAAGCAGTTCTATGAGGGAAATTTATAGCGGTAAATTTCCACATCAGAAAAACAGAACAAGCTCAAATAAAAAACCTAATGTTGAACCTCAAGCTTCTAGAAAAAGAAAAGCAAGTCAAGCCCAAAGCTTGTATGAGGGAGGAAATTATAAAGATCAGAGCAGCAATTAATGTAGTGGAGAATAAGAAAACAACGTAAAGAATCAATGAATCAAAGAGTTGGTTCTTTGAAAGATTAAATAAAATTGACGAGTCCTTAACTAATCTTATCCAAAAAAGGAAAAAAACCCCTCAAATCCATGCAATTAGAAATGAAGAGGGTGAAATCACAACAGGTCCTGCAGAAATACAGACCATCAATACCTACTTTGAGAACCTCCATTCTAATAAAATGGAAAACACGGAAAAAATGGACAGATTCCTAGGTACATATGAATTACCAAAGCTCAATCAAAATGATATAAAGACTCTAAATAGCCCAATATCAGTCAATATTGAGGATGTAGTTAAAAACTTACTAACAAAGAAAAGCCCAGGTCCTGACAGCTTCACTGCTGAATTCTACAAGAAATTTGGAGAAGATCTAATGCCAGTACTCCTCAAACTCTTTAATGAAATTGAAAGGGAAGCAGTACTACCAAACTCATTCCTGGAAGCAAGCATTACCCTGATACCAAAACCAGAGAAGGATCCAACCAAAAAAGAGAACTACAGGCTAATCTCCCTAATGAACATAGACACAAAATCTTCAGTGAGATACTAGCAAACAGAATGCAGCAAATCATCAAGAAGATTATACACCATGATCAGGAAGGATTCATCTCAGGGATTCAAGGATGGTTCAACACATGCAAATCAATAAATGTAATATATCATATTAACCGAGCCAAGTAAAAAAATCATATGATCATCTAAATAGTGCAGAAAAAGCATCTGACAAAGTCCAATACCCATTCATGATAAAAACCCTACAGAAAATTGGAATAGATGGTGTTTATCTCAATCCGATAAAAGCCATCTATGACAAACCAAAAGTCAACATCATACTAAATGGTCAAAAACTGAAAGCTTTCGCTCTAAAATCAGGAACAAGACAAGGATGTCCATTATCACCACTCTTAGTCAATATAGTTTTGGAAACATTAGCAGGAGCAATTAGACAACAGAAACAAATAAAAGGAATAAGGATAGGAAAGGAAGAAGTTAAATTATCACTATTTGTGTATGACATGATACTCTACACAGAAGACCCCAAAAACTCCACCAAAAGACTTCTAGATTTAATAACCAAATTCAGTAGCATCACTGGATACAAATTCAACACTCAAAAATCAATAGAATTACTATACACAAATAACAAACTCACTGAAAAAGAAATTTGGGAAGCCACATCTTTAACAATAGCATCCAAAAACATGAAATACTTAGGAATCAATCTAAAGAAGGAAGTAAAAGACTTTTACATTGAAAACTACAGTACTGTGAAAGAGGAGATTGAAGAGGATATCACAAAATGGAAAGATATTCCTTGTTCTTGAGTAGGAATAACCAATACAGTGAAAATGGCCATACTCCCAAAATTGTTACACAGATTTAATGCAATCCCGATCAAAATAGCAATAGCATATCTCACAGAATTAGAGAAGACAATCCTCAAATTCATTTGGAACCAGAAGAGACCAGAACAGCAAAAGCAATTCTGGGCAACAAAGGTAAGGCAGGGGGCATCACAATCCCTGGTTTGAAATTATACGAAGCTACAGTAATAAAAATAGCATGGTACTGGCAAATAAACCTGAGGATCAATGGAACAGAATAGAAGATGCAGAAACAACTCCAGACACACTCAATCACCTTATCTTTGACAAAGGAGCCAAACATCTTCCCTGGAAGAAAGACAGCCTCTTTAATAAATGGTGCAGCAAAAACTGACTTTTCACATGGTCAAAGACTAAAACTAGACCCATGTCTCTCACTATACACTAAACTAGAATTTGAATGTATCAAAGATCTAAATACGAAAACAGGAACACTACATCTGCTGAAAAATAGAATAGGTAGAACTCTTGAAGGCTTAAGTGTCAGCAAAGACTGTATAAACAGAACCCTAATTGGACAAGAAATATTACAAAGGGGCTGGGGATTTAGCTCAATGGCATTGCGCCTGCCTCACAAGTGCAAGGTCCTGAGTTCGGTCCCTGGTAACAACAAAAGAAATGTCACAAAGAAGAAACAACTGGGACCTCAACTTACTAAAAAGCTTTTACACAGCAAAAGAAACCACCAAAACCATCAAGAGAGTGAAGAGGCAACCCACAGATGGGAAAAAAAAATTCACCAGCTCTTCCTCAGATAAAGGACTAATATCTACAATATACAAAGAACTCAAAAAATCAGAACTCTCAAATTTAAAGACCCAATCAAAAAATGAGCATCTGAAATGAACAGATAATTCTCAGATAAAGAAATACAAACAGCAAATTAATATATGAAAAAATGTTCACCATCACTAGTCATTCAAGAAATGTAAATTGAAACAACACTGAAATTTTATCTTAGTCCAGAAAGAATGTCTGTTATCAAGAAATCAACCAATAACAAATGCTGGCAAGGCTGTGAGGAAAAAGGAACGCTTCTTCATTGTCGGTGGGAGTGTAGACTGGTGCAACCACTGTGGAAATCAGTGTGGAGATTCCTCAAAAAACTAAAACTAGAGGTTCCATTCTACCTAGCTAGTCCCCTTCTTGGTATCTTCCCAAAAGAATTAAAAGCATCATACCACAGCGATATATGCCCACACATGTTTATAGCACCATAGTTTATAATGGTTAAATCTTGAAAACAGCTCAAATGCCCATCAACCAATAAATAAATTGTGTGTTTTTAAAAATACAATGGAGTACTCCTCTGTCATAAACAGAGATAGGTTTGAGACACTTCTAGCTAAATGGATGTACCTTGAGACCATACTCTTACGTGAAATAAATCAGACACATACTCTCAAATATCATATGGTTTCTCTGGCGTGAGAAACCAAAAGTGTAAATAAGGACCAAAATGTATAATAGATGTGAAATAGAAAGACCATGTTCAAATGGGAAGGGAAACTGGGGAGGAGAGGAGGGGTAATGGAAAGAAGGGAAAAGGAAAAAAAGAGAACAGAAGGAAAAAATGGAATCAGAGCTTTTTTGTAAATGTGGAGGGGAAGAGGGGTTGAAGGAAGGGGAGGGAAATGGGAAAAAAAGAAGAATCAAGATATATCATGTACAGGTACAAATTCCACATGATAAATATTATCAGTATGTGTATCTAAAATGTACCAATAAAATAAATGTTAAAAAAATTAGGATGAAGTCATACTGGAGGAGAGTGGGCTCTTGATCCAGTATGACTGGTATCATTATAAAATGGGAAAATTTGGAGACAGGCACACACACAGGAAGAATGTCATGTGAAGATGCAGGCAGAGGTGAGGCAATGCATCTACAAGCTACACCAAAGGTCGCTCCACCCCAAACCACAGAAGCTAGGGAAGGGCATGGAATAGTTCTCTTTCAGTCCTCTTAGCGACCAGTCTTGCTGACCCTTGATTTTGGTGTCTGGAATTTGGTCTCCAGAATTGGGAGAGGATATATTTTTGTTTTTCTAAGCCACCGTTTGTACCATTTTGTTACAGCAGCCCCAGTGAACTGCGGACTATGTAAAATGTCTGTGTGCTCTTCCCTGGCAGTAGGGCACAATGGCCCACAGCCTCACTTTACTTGAAAAGGACAGACAGTGAGGCCCAACTTAACAGAAGGTTCACCTTGGGCTTGATCCTAAACTGCTGCTCCTGGAAGGGTCCATCCAAAATTGCATTCTCTAATGATAACACAAAGCGTTTCATTTTATATAGTACGTGTAACCAGTGGTACCGATAAAGCCACGTCTGTGATAAGAATTTCTTTTTTGATAAATTAAGAAACGAGATCTGAAACAGAATCTACAAATATGTCATATCTGAAACAATTGCTTGTTGCTAAAGATTACACACAAAGACACGAGTGTATAATATGTAATATACATACATTTCAATACATATATTTCCTTACTATAAAAATGTATATACATATTCATCCTGAATTTGATCTATACTTAGCATTCTCACTTAAACTGCTCTCCACAATGTTTATTATAAAAAGATACACTGTTGTTATTATTATTATTATTTTATTTATTTTATTTTTTAGTACTGGGGATTGAACTGAGGACCCTGTGCTTGCCAGGCAGGCAGCAGACATTGTTATTATTTATGTGCTCTGTCTTGATTTAAAGCTTTTCTTAGCCAGATTCTTTGGAACTAGGAAAATGTTAAAAGAGTATCCAGATACACATAAAAGTACTTACCAAGGAACATTTCAATAACAGATGCCTTCATAGTGAGAACAGCAATCCCCATAAGTATCTAAATGGCACCCTGGAGAGAAAGAAACAATAACATCATCATGTTTCAGCAAGGAGTCCTGAATTGGATGCAGGAAGTATTGTGGGGAGAGAGCACCGTTTTGTATGGTGCTCTGGAGTCTCAGGACTCCGAGCTGGGGCCTTCTATCAGCTTCCCTTGGAGACGGCAGTGGACTGCTGCCCAGGCACCCAGAGATTCTAGTCCCGGAAAAGCCGTTCTCCCCACCAGCCTCCGAGTCTTCAGAGATCTGGTCTGAGATTTAAGGAAGAAACAACTCCACGTTTTTGAGATATGTCCAACTATTCTTCACATTTGGGCATCATCCACATTTATGGTGTTGCGAGAACATTTTTAGATTACAGATAAATCATTCAATAAGTATTTATTAAACTCCTATTGTATGGCTAAGTTTTGTTAGGAAGAAGGCAATAAAAATTGAATTAAAAACCAGTTCTCACTCTTAAATGACTTACAGCTTCACAGAGGTGGAAAAACACACATGAACAGAAATAATCCCCATGTGAGAGAGCACAGGAATTTCAGGCCTCAGGAGGGAGGGGAAGGGGAAGTTTACAGAGCAGTGGTTCTCACACTTGGCTGCATATTATTATCATCTGGGGATTTTAGAAAACCCTGATATCCAGGCTGCACCCAGAGAAAGTGAATCAGAATGTCTCGGGGGTGGGGTCCAGGTATTAAACTTAAAAAAAAAAACCCTCAAATAGTTCCGACATGAAACCAGGTTCAAGGACCATCAGTTTATAGTAGGGCTCCTTTAAATGTTCATACCAGTCACCTAGGGGTCTCGTTAAAATGTAGACTGGAAACCAGTAGATCTGGGGCAGTTTTAGATTCCCTAAAGGAGCGGGACTTTTAAAGAGAAGAAAGAGATGATTTCAGCCACGGGAGTAAGAGAAAACCTCACAGAGCGGGTAGCCATTGGTTCTAAGAGTGAAGAGTGAACAGAGTTTAGACAGGTAGAAATGGGGAGAAGGAATAGTAGGGAAGGGGGTTCAGCAGCAGTGGAGCCCAGGGGTGGAAAACACCTTAGACATGAAAATAGTGGATCTGTTAGGGGTCCCCTTCTCTTTAGGCTTCAAGGAAGCCCTCAAAAGTTTACTAATACTGCCATGAATTATGTACTACGTGCTCGATATTGTCTTGAATGCTTACACTAAACCATCATGATAGGTCTGATTTATCCTCATTGAACAGAGAAGGAAACTAAGACTTAAAATATTAAAGGACAAGGCAGGGCGTAGACTTGGTTAAGTAGGGGGAGTAGGTGGAAAGGATCTGGCCTGGGCACAGATAAGGGGGAGCATTGTAGAAGATCCAAACCCTTAAATCTGTTCTCCTTTTTATTACCCTTATTAATTAGCAATTTTAAACAATGTCAGTGATACTCAAGCACTCCTCTCTGGGCAGATGGCTCCCCTCCTCCAGGGCCATGGCTGTGTGGCCTAAAGCTGACATTCATAACCCTACACTGCTATTCCTGGTGGTGTACTGGGGTCACTTTTAGGACATACATCCTTCTATGATGGCTTATTTGAGAGGCCCTAAAGTGATGCCATTGAATGAGAAATTTGGAAAGAGATAAGCAGGAACTGGTTGTAGCTAGATCCAGAAACAGCTTATCACCAATATTTAGACACAGCGCTATGAAGAGTTTGTTAACAAAAAGCAATTACTAAATTATAGGTGAAGCACTAATGAAAGTACTGTGCCTGATGTGGTGAACTTGAATCAAACTATTCGGTATATGGGAAGTTTATTACAAGTAAATTGTGCACAAGAAGTAACCCCAATCAACACTGGATCACTGAATTGCCAGAAATGACTGGAATGTGTTAAATTTCCCAATTTAGGTAGTTGATCACTGGCTACATAGTAGACAAGTAATACTCTTTAATTTCAAAACAGAAATAAAATCACACATAGAATCTACTCGGCAACTTGATGCTTAACTATCTGGGTTGCATTTTAGAAATAGTGTGACATAACCAGCCATTTTTTTTTTTTTTTTTTTTTGGTCTTTGATTCATTTGAGAAACTCCAGAGCAATTTACATGGCTTCAGGTCTACATGTTGGACTTTCCTCTCAGCTATGCGCAGAAAGCCAAAGTCCCTCGCTGGACCTGCGCAGCCAGCCCCACTACTGGGCTGTTACCGTGGAAGGGTTCACCTCATCTCCTAACTGTTTTTTCCTCACATCTTCTCCACCAGCCAACTTCCTTGACTCTGTATCCACATTCTACGCAGCGTCTGACCATTTTTCAGCCTCTTTACCACTGTACCTGGTCCAGTTCACAGCCTGGCCCACCTGGATTACTGCACTTCCTTTGGCCTCCCCAGTCCACACAAGAGCCAACATGGCCCTATTCCAAGTAAACCGGCTCTCGGCATCCCTCTGCTTAGAACCCTACAGAGGCTCCCACCTTACTAGGTATAACAGCAGTCTTTATAGTTGGCTCAAGAGCCTACCCGACTTGGATTGACCACCACTGGTCTTGACTTCACTAACCATATTCTCCCCCTCACTTACCCTGGCCTCTTGGCTGTTGGTAGAAATTCCTGGCACCTCAGGCACTCTGCACTTACTGTATTTCTCGGGTTTGCCCTGACTAGATGTTCCTTCCATGGATAAACCCATGTCATTCTCCCTCACTTCTTTCCAATCTTTGCTCTACATGTCACTTAGAGATATTTCCCAACCGCCCAATGGCAAGTTGTAATCTCCCTCCTACCTCATCCTTCCTCTACTCTCTTTTTCTCCAAGTCACTTATCACCTCTGATGTGCTCTATGGTTTACTTATTCCACGCGCCCATCTTTATGTTCCCCCTAGAATGCAAACTCCAGGAGGGCTGGGATTTTTATTTGATGTTTTAGGTGCTCAGAACATACTTGTTAGATCAAAGTGTAAGTACTGAGAGCTCTCCCCTTCCTTTGAAAATAAAAAGATACAAAGGGAAGGAAGTCCTGATGGACATGACCTTTTCACGCTGGGATAGATGTATAACAACCCATGGGATTCCAGGAAACACTCAAATCCCAGAGGAGAAGCAGCCCTAGTGTGACTCAGCAGCAATGGAAACTGACCAGGGTCAGTCTGCTCTCTTGGGAGCAGAATGATTAAGGCTTCATTCTCACCGCTGCAATGTTTCGTTGTTGACTCATACACTTAAAATGTAAGTGCACTATTGGAAATGTGTGCGGAAAAAATTCAAACCTTTTCTTATCCCTCCAGGAAGCTGAAGTGGAGGAAGGCAGCCCGTGCTGTCAGGCAGCTTTTCCAGGTAGCTGGGGTCACCAGGCTGGGAGTGCTCAGTGGTCCCAGAGCCTGATTCCTCATGCGCTCACCAGGATTCTAACAAAAGTGGAACAATAGGGGCTTTCAAAAAAATTGCTTACTGATTCCTACGTTTTTGGAATTGTACTATGAGTTGCAATAGAAAGAAACTGGAATAGGAAGTTCTGGTGGGACACACGAAGCCCTGTTGGGAAAGAAAAATATACTTAAGTGTAAGTAGATTAGCATAGCCAACTTAATTAGATTTCATTGCTCAGGCTTAGAGCAATGTTGTTGCTAATGAATAATAATATCACCTTGGATTTATATGGTTCTTCACAGTTTTTAAATAAAGAAGCTTCGTGTGCATTTTTAGAATGTGGACTCCAGTTTTCTTTCTTGTTCACTCTGCGGTTCCTAGAGCCTGGAGCAGTGCATGTGGTGATAAATAATATGTGTTCTCTGAGAAAATGAGTAAACACAAACTTGCTCTTCACATTGAACTAGTACAGGAAGTGGGACTCGTATCATAATCCTTTTTAATGGTACTAAGGATTGAACCAAGGGATTTTGCACTGAGCTCCATCTCCAGCTCTTGTATATATATTTTTTGAGACAAGTTCTCATTAAATTGGTAAGATAACTATGCTGGGCTCAAATTTTTGATTCTCCTGCCTCAGACTCCAAGAGTGCTGGGGTTACAAGTGTATATCACCATGCCTCACTCATAATTCACATTTTTAAAAGGTAAAGAAACTGCAGCATGGGTGAGTTAGTGACTTATTCAAGGTCATGTACAAAGTCAAGCCTAGGTTTATGACTCTTGATCTTGTACTGGTGTTTCTATCTCTTGGTGTATATAAAATAATCTGCAAGTTGTATCTTACTGAGATTTTAAAAAGCAAAATTATACAATGGAGTACTACTCAGCCATAAAGAAGGATAAATTTGAGTCATTTGTAGAAAAATGGATGCACTTTGAGTCTGTAATGCTAAGTAAAATAAATCAGACACTGGGTTAAATATCACATAGTTTTTCTTGAATTTTTTTTTTTTTTTTTTTTTTTTGGTACTGGTGATCGAACTCAGGTCTTTCTCCTTGCAAGGCAGGCAGCAGAACCATTGAGCTAAATCCCCGGCCCACATAGTTTTTCTTATATGAGAAACTCAAAGTATAAATAATTTAAAGATCAAAGTAAAAGAAAGACGATAGACTTTATGGTGATGTGAAGGGGCTCTGGGAGGGAAGGGAGAAGACAAAGGATCGAGATGTGCTATGTATTTGTACCAATGAATATATTTATTATGAATTGCAAACATACTAATAAAAAATTTTTTAAAAAAGCAAAGTGGGGACCAGGGATTTAGCGCAGTGGCACTGCGCCTGGCTTGCAAGTGCAAGGTCCTGAGTTTGATTCCTGGTACCAAAAAAAAAAGCAAAGTGGAATTTTCCTCAGATCTCTCTATTAGAAAAATGCTTGAGATTCACAGATAAGAGGGAAAACTGGTCATCGATGAAGTAAGAAAAGAATGTCTTTTGTCAAAGGTGGAAGAAGACAAGAAAGGCAAATAAAGAGGAAAATTATTGGCCCAGGATGTGACGAAAGCATCTAATTCCCTGTTTAAATTTTCATCCTGTGCATGTATATTAATAACTCAGAAATTAATAAGCACAAATAAAAACAAAAAAAATGGTAAAACTGCTCAAATTAGTAGAG